GGAGCGGGGCCGGTCCCGGAGGGCCCCGGTCACCCTCCGGCCCGCTCTCAGTGGGTCTCTGTTCGCGGAAACCCGGCGGCTTTGTGCCTGGCAGCGAGTTTTTGCGTCACCCCGCCCCTTGCAGCCGTCGTGCGAGTCACCGTCCGAAGCGAAGATGTGCCAGGCTTCCGTCAGCGCTTCCGACGGCTGGCGCTGAGCTGTAACGTTTGTATTTCCAGACCCTCCTCTGCATCAACCCCCCCCTTTTCGAGGTGTATCAGACGCTGTTAAGCCCCACGCACCATCATGTGGCGCTCATCGGTACGAAGGGGCTCATGGTGCTGGAGCTGCCCAAACGCTGGGGGAAGAATTCTGAGTTCGAAGGTGGGAAATCCACAGTGAACTGCAGGTGGGTGAGACCTCCGGCGGTTAACGACACCCTTGTCCCGCCGTCGTTCTTCTCCTCTCCTGGGGGCCAAACGGCTGCGGAAGGCGTTGGTTGTATTGGGGTTGTAGGGACAGTCACAAATAGAGGTATTTTGTCTCAGGGACTTGTCAAGTGACCCAAATCAATGGCCTTCTAAACTTGCTGCAAACGCTGAGGAGCAGTGCTCCTCTGTAGTATTCTCTGGCCCTTCTGGGGGTGTTTGGCTGTGGTGGCAAAACACACACATCTAGATGGAAATAACAAAGGGCTTAACTTAAAAGCTGTCCCTCCAACTTTAAGAATAATACAGCTAATGGCTCAGAAACCTTTTAATTTGGTTTCCAGCTCCTCTTGCCCCCACTTCCCAGTAGAAGTAAGTCCTGTGTTTCTCGTAACAGTGCATATTTCTGTGTTTCAGCACTATTCCTGTGGCAGAAAGATTCTTCACAAGCTCAACATCTCTGACTCTAAAGCATGCTGCCTGGTATCCCAGTGACACGTTAGAGCCCCATATTGTGCTCTTGACTTCGGATAACACTGTAAGGTAAAACCTGTTTGTAGCTGATTATTTAAGTATTTTTTTTGTCACAGCCAGTCTGATTTTTCGCTAGATGTTTGTGCCCTGCCGTTCCTCCGGGCATTGCTAATAAAAAAATAGGATGGGAGAAGTTTTAGACTGATACCAGCTGATGTTGCTGCATCAGCTGGGACATGTGTCACGCTGCCAGTGGAATGAACGTTGCTGCTGTTTCTTCCCTCTAGGTTTTACAGTCTAAAGGTACCTCAGACGCCTGTCAAAGTGATTGCTCTTTCAGACACTGAGGAGGAGACTCTTACCATCAAAAAAGGGTTTGTGTGGCTTCTTGTGTTTTGAAGTGCTTCTGACAGAATAAGCTTTGTATTCTCAGTTACGGTTTTAATGAATAAGTGATAAATCTACCTGAAAATCTGATGTGACTTTTTTTTTTTCATGGGCTTCTTCAGTGCTAGAACTTCTTCCCAGCACAGTAACTGCACTTTTTTTTTCTTTCTTTCTTTTTTGTCATCCTTCTAAAAGAAAGTGGTAACAAACTGTGCGGTCAAGCGTTTGTCAGAGTAGTCATTTGAAAAATGCACGTTGTCTTTAAGGTGGGGTTAAGAAGGGCTCTTGGAGTGGGGAATGCAGAAAACAGATGATCTTTTTATTTCCCTCCTGGCCTAGTTGGAAAGGAAAAACTCGAGGGTCTCTGCTAGTCCAGTCACAGACTGACACCCTACACAGGAACACCAGTACACCCCCCTCTCTCAGCCTGTGGAACAGGGCTGGCTGGAGGGTGTGCTGCAGAGGTACCGCCAGAAGGGTGTGACTTGCCGGCGTTTGCTGCCCGAAGTGGCCCGTGTCAAAGCGCCGATGGCCGGTGCTCAGCCGTGGTGTGTCAGCACATGCCGATGGACCCGGTTAAACCCTGGTGCTCTCGCCATCGCTGCTGACTTCAGGTCTCGTTCTGCTCGTCCCCAGGAGAGCCTACACAGCATCGCTGGGAGAGACTGCCGTGGCCTTTGACTTTGGCCCGCCAGTGCCGGTGCCAAAGAACGCTCTTGGGCAGCGAGGGAGGGAGGAGGTGTTGGCCCATCCGCTTTACATCTTGTATGAGAACGGAGAGACGTTCCTCACCTACGTCAGCCTGCTCCAGAGGTAGATCCCGTTCGTCCTCGGGCTTCGTGGGTTTGTCAGTGTTGGGGTCGGAGAGCCATCTGCCAGTTTGGCGGGGGCCTGTCTAATGGAGGCTGGGCAGAGTTTTGCTGTATTGCAGCCTGGTTTATCTCCTTGTGGCGTGCTAATAGACTGAAATCCAAGAACAGTTTGTCATCGTTTTTCATCTGGGTGTTCAGGGTGCCGTTTCCACTGCTGAGAATCCAGTGTCCGTTATTTACCATCAGAAATCCGAAATGAAGACACTGGACTGTTAAAAGATTAGGGTTTTAAGGCTGGTAAGGTGTATTTTGGGGCCTTCTGTTCACAGCACAGACATCCTTAGCTTTGGATGAGGCTGAATGAGCCAGTGGCATCTTAGGAAAAAAAATATTTTACGATCATAGAGGGTTTTCAGGCGTGTTACGTAATGAAAAGTCAAGGATATGAATCAAGAATATAAACATGATCCAAGAAAATATTACTTCAGAAAAACCGAGAAGATGGTGGAGAACTTAAAAGTTTGATCTAGTGTCACTGAATATTAAAACGCGGTAGTTGTTAGGTTAGACACGGCACTGGCTGCCTCTGCGTGAGAAATGGTGCAGCTTTGAGCAGATCCTGTCTGTAGGCAATGAAATGGGCTTAGTCCTTCAAAAGTTCTGCCTACAGAAATGCCATGCCACAAAATGCTGCTTGTAAAGTGCTTTATTAAGCAAGAAACCCATTAAGTGGTAAAGATAACTTGAGCTTTCTGGGACTACTTTGTGTTCTTGTATGAAAGTTTCCTCTTGCGTTTTTTGTAATGCAGCTTGGTTGCTTTAAAAGCATAAAATGTTATTACTGAGCTCCAGTTTCTTTGAGATCACCAAGTAGGTGTAGTTGAGCCTCTTAATCTGCACAAGTCTGGGTTGCTGCTATCTAAGGGAAATTAGACAGAATTCCTTGTTTGTTTGTTTGTTTGTTTGTTTTTTAAATCATCCTTATTTCGTAGTCACTGTGCAGGCAATGCCTGCAGGCAACCATGGGGAACTCTCCTTCCACACCTTGTGTTGTGACCACACTTTCTTTATTCCAGCACTGGAAATCTTGGCAAGCTGCTCGGGCCTCTGCCCATGCACCCTGCTGCGGAAGATAACTATGGCTACGATGCCTGTGCTGTCCTGTGCCTGCCTTGTGTTCCGAACATCCTGGTGATTGCCACCGAGTCGGGAATGCTTTATCACTGCGTGGTGCTGGATGGAGAAGAGGACGATGAGCAGGTACCTTGCCTTGGGGTTTTTTCTATAGGCATTTTTGTTTCTTTAGTCAAAGTTCGGGGCTGCGAGATGGCGGGGTGCCTGGAAGTGAATGCCAAGTGCCAAAGCTGCGCTGGTTTGTAGTGAGGTGGTGAGTCTTCCTCCTGTTCCAGCCAGTCCCTGTGATTCTCTGTGCTGTTATTTTAAATGTCAGCTCTGGGTATTCTGACAGTAGATCAGTTTTTGATCATCAGACTTACTGTGAACTACTTTAAAGAGGATCTTTTAAGAAGAAACCTTTTTACCTGAGAAATTTTTTAAAGTTTAAAAAAAAAAGGGACTTGGACTGCTTTCCCTGACAAGGAATACTCCTGCCTAAATTGTGTAACTCACTCTCGATGCTGTTTATGTTGGCATTTCTATGTAAGTGATGCCTCACAGAAGCATTCAATGCTTTTTACAGTCAGAAAAGTCGTGGGACCCAAGATCTGATCTTATTCCTTCCCTGTACGTGTTTGAATGCGTTGAGCTGGAACTTGCACTGAAACTAGCATCAGGAGACGAAGAGGAGCCTTTGGAGTCTGATTTCTCTTGCCCAATCAAACTGCATCGAGGTAGGGTTGTCGTTCAGGTTGTTGGCTTCTACTTGCTTTTGGGATCAAGCTATTTACAAATTGTTATTGGTGTCAAACAAACAGTAAGGATTTGCCTGGTATCTTCAGTAAAGCTGGGGGAGAAGCCAGCCTGGGAGGTGCTTTGGTGTTTACTCAAGCACAGATTACAGCTGGTCACATAGTGCTGAATTCTTTCAGCTGTGGATTATAAAGGAGAAGTTGTTGCCCCTGTTGTGAGCTACGGGTGTAAGTGAGTGCTGTGGGGACGGTGATCCCGAGGGAAGGATTGGTATCTGCTTATTAACTGTCTGATGGGGCAGGAGGGCAGGTAGGACAAGGTGTTTGGGTCTTTTGGAACACGAAGCTTGTCCAGATGCTGGGCTGCTGGCTTGAACTGATCTTCCCTTGAAAATCTAGTGGGTTGGTACAGATGGGGTCTGACAGGAGTAGTTCCAAACCCTTCAGCAGGTAGTTCAAGCAGAACTCTGAGAATGTGGCTAAGGCTTCTAGCTCAGCTGGTGGACGGGGATGCGTTAGTACTTGCACCAGGGTGTTACTGGGGGCTGGACATATTGACACACGTGTTCACCAGCGCAGGGGTGAAGGAGCAGTTTCTCAGTTCAGTGCTGCCTTCTACATTTGCTGTTTAAATTTCAGACCCGAAATGTCCCTCGAGATACCACTGCACACACGAAGCTGGTGTCCACAGCGTGGGGTTGACGTGGCTCAATAAACTGCACGAGTTCCTGAAGTCAGGTGAGTGGTGCAACCCTGCTGCAGGTGGAGGGAAGAGGGTACTGGCCGAACACCCGCCTTTCGCTGGTAGCAAGGTGGTGGGTGTGGGAGATGCTGAGACCCCCTTACCCTGCAGAGTGGATCTGATGTGTTCTGACCAATCTCTTTGTAGACGAAGAAGACAAAGACAGTTTACAAGAGCTGGGAGCAGAACAGAAGTGCTTTGTTGAACATATTCTTTGTACAAAACCGTTGCCATGCAGGTAAAAACTCAAACCCTTTCTATTGCTTCCAGATCTGGGTTGCTATGGAGAATATTTATGATTTGTCCTCTTTTCTGGCATTCTTGCTGTTAAAAATAATGAAGTCAGCTCAAAAGATTTCAAATCGCACAAATAGGCACTCTGTGCATCAGGATTCTTAATGCACAGTTAGGGAAGTAAGCTGAAATTCCCAGGTCACTGGCTGAAAATCATCTGTCAAATGCAGAAATTTTTACTTCCATTTTCTTGACCCCAGGCAACTCTGAGGCTTGATTTGGCTAACAGTCTTGAATGCTGACATGTTCCTTTTATCCACTTGTTAAGGATCAAACAGTGCCTCGAAAGAACATCTGATTTTTTTGAGCTTGGTGAGGCTTAAGAGGCATCATTTACTGGGCTGTGTACTCGTACCTGGCCCTGCTTTATTTTCTGACTTTTATAAGCTAGACCTTTTCCGAAAGAGTGAGCTTGGACAGCTGCAGGAATAAAGAATTTTTTTGACCAGGGAATTCTTGTGTTTTCTTCCCTTCAGGCAACCTGCTCCAATTAGAGGCTTTTGGATCGTTTCTGACATCTTGGGGCCCACCATGATCTGCATCACAAACAGCTATGAGTGTATTACAAGGCCTCTCTTGTACGTGGTTCTTAATTGGTCTGAACTCCTTGACTGTTGCATGAAAAGGATCTCAGCCTATTATTTTTTATTATTATTGTTCTTTTGATCCTTTCACCCCAGACTTCTGCACCTCTTATGACACACACTCAATCACGTTTTTGCCTTCTGCACACTCCCTGGCTGAGCACTTTGGTGTTACTGTTGTAATTTACTACTGATAAGGTGTTTGTAGGGGATATAATTGATCTATATCACTTTTAATGAGTATTAGGACAAGAGTGGCACCAAAAGGTTCTTGCTGGTAGTGTTGGGGTTTTTTTCCCTTCATTTTTATGATGAGGAATCCACAAATCAAAAACTCATTTACAGATGGTAGTATAGAGATTCTTCATGGGCACCAAGGTTATGTTTGCATGAAAGGGGAAAAAAGTGGTTCTTTAAAGTGGTGGATTTTTAGTGTGCACTTCCACGGCACCTTTACTTTGTTGGGGTGGGGGGAGAGGTACAGACTAGTGTGGTAGACTTGCCTTTGCACAAGTAAGTGAACACAGTGGGGGCAGGGCACTATTTTCAGTTTGTTTATGGCAGAGAACACTGTTTAATGTACGGCAGGTACCTTCAGCAGAGCTAGTACTAATGTCCGTTTTTTTTACAGACCTTTTATTATTTTTTTATACTATTTCTGCAGTGCTCTTAGGTAGGTAGGTTTTTCTTACAGCTCTTTTCAACCCCGTTATCTGAAATTACATAGGTGGGCAGCCCAAGCAGGTTGCTTTGAGAAACAGGTCATTCTGCTGTTGAAGCACTTGCCTTGTTATAAAACTTTCTTCTCCTTTAATAAAAGGATATTTAGGATTTTTGCTAGTTTCAGCCGTGGCCAAACAAAAAGATGTGGCAAAGTGAGCTCCACCAGCCTTGTCTAGAGCTGGATTTACCGCATAATTGAAGTGTTTCCTCTTAGAACACTTCTCACTTACTGCTGTAACACATTAATTCTGCAGTTCTTCACTTACTACCATTTAATCTCTGACATAGTTTAAATTTTTCTGGTTTAAACTGTGTTTTCCAATTTTATGTTCCTTGGTAGAAGTACAGTCCATCCTGCATTCCCTGCCCTGCTCTGTACCAAAGACGACCAAGATGCTGCTGTTTCCCCTCTCCGTATCCTGGCCGAGTCAGAGCATTCATTCGAGAGGCACATCCGAAGCATCCTGCAGCGCAGTTCTGCCAATCCCTTCCTTCTGAAGTAAGTCAGTACGTTTTCCTGGGGGACCTGAAGGCGTCAGACTCTTGGGAAGACCGTGTGTTATCAGCTCCTGCTTCAACAGCACGTTACCTTGGACGTGGCAATAACGGGGGCACAGCTCCTGCAGCTGCCTGGTGCCTCTCGGGCTGTACAGGGATGGCATCCCATCGCGCTGTAGCTTGGGAGGGGGATCATCTTGCTCCAGTCCCCTGCTCAGAGCAGGGCTGACCAGGTTGCTTATTGCTTGTCCCATTGGGTTTTCAGTATCTTGAGATACCGTGGCGTTTCCTCGTGTAAGAAAAATGATTTAATTACAGTCCCTCACTTCTGTAACTGAGCCCTCGCCATCAGTACTCAAAGTTGTTTAGCCTTTCAAAGGGCCATGTTAGAGTGAGATTGCAAAAACCTGTCTCTCATAAACCTCTCTTAAGGTCTGCTAATAAAGATGCTGCTCCTCCCCCTGAAGAATGCCTTCAGCTTCTTAGCAGAGCCACCCAAGTGTTCAGAGAGGAATACATACTGAAACAAGATCTGGCAAAAGAGGAAATTCAGCAAAGGTAATCAAACCCCTCATAAATACGTGCTGTACGGTGTCTCTGTGAAGCAATAGCACTGAGCACTAAACCTTCTCTGCTGGACTAACCCTTGTAAATGAGTAAAATGGACTCATGTAAGGCTGGTGGAATACCAGAACGGAAAAATCGAGTTACCAGGGAAAGCAGGGGTGAGCGTAGTACTTGATCTCTAGTGGCTCGTAGGGGAAATTAAAAAGTAAACACACACCATTAAATACTTCTCCTTTGCTGTTGTCAGTCTGCCTGTGCCTGTGGGGGGCAGGAAATACTTTAACCTTAGCAATAATACCAACAAAGGAAAATTGCATTAAGTTTTTGCTTCTTCAAATTATAGTTAATTTATTGATACTGTAAAGTTAGGACAAAATGGAAGTGTTTGTTCTCACCACTGCCTATTTTTCAGTGTCTTTAGGTCTTCGTAGTCCCAGGAGCATTAGTCACTTCTGTCATATTTTGTGTGTGTGGCGTAAATCCTGATTCACCTGGATTGCTGTTGTGGGTGGTTTGACTTTATGTATTGTATTTATTTTAAGAGTGAAGCTGCTGTGGGAACAGAAGAAAAAACAATTGGAAGATCTTAATTACTATCGAGAGGAAAGGTAAGTATAATCTGTCTGCTTTTATCAAGTCAGACATCAGGAGTGATGCACCTTTGTGCCAAAAGCCTTTATCCGGGGTCCTGGGTGAAGCCAGGGAGAAGTGAATGCATTTCCAGCTATAATGAAGCATGTAGATGCAGCCCCTGCTCCGGCTTGCTTGGTCAGGCTCCTTGTCCTGTTCCCACATACAGGCTTGCCTTGCATGTAAATCTAAAGTAAATAAACATTTCTCACTTGCATCAAGGAAAAGTTTGCGGGAAATGGCTGAGCGCTTGGCTGACAAGTATGAGGAAGCTAAAGAGAAGCAAGAAGACATTATGAACAGGTGAGTGCAGGCTACAAAACTCTGCTCTGTTTCATCCAAGATCCCTTGCTATTAAACAGAAGTTTGCAAGTGGTAGAACCGGGGGCAGGAGGTGCCACACTGGCTTGTCAGCAGACTGGGCTTCTGACCTGCTCTCTTGTGGGGCTCCGTGGTGATTTGTCAGTACTGCTCCAGGTCCGGAGGCAGCTTGCCGCCTGGCAGTGCCACGGGAGACTTGCTGGAGAAGGAAAGTGCAGTCTTGAGTCCCTGAGGCTTGGGAAGAGTGACTGAAGTGCAAGTTGTGTCTTTGCGTAACTGGGCTAACAGGTAAGTTAATTCAGCGACATTTCTCGCTTTGTACATCAAGGATGAAGAAAGTACTTCGGAGTTTCCACTCTCAGCTTCCTGTTCTGTCAGACAACGAGAAGGATATGAGGAAAGAATTGCAGGCAATACACGACCAGCTGCAGCACCTGAGCAATGCTATCAGACAGGTGAGGCCACAAATCATCTGGCTGGTGGGTTATTGACACCACCTCACTCACCCCTAAGGCCAGTGCTGATAGAGTACAGTCCTTCCAATAGAGCACCCCGTACTTTGGTAAATTGGCAACAACGTGCTCAAATAACTTCTGATCCTCGGTGGTAATACAGGCAGAACCTCTGCCACCCAGTACAAGCCCTAAAAAAGAAAGTCTACACACCTTCCTCAGTCCTAGCAATAACATTCTCTTCTCTTTGTGGGAGGAGGGGTGCAAAAGCAAGCAGGTATCGACCCAGAGAGAATCACTTCATGGCAGTGTGACGCACCAGTTTGTAACGAGCTTTCACCTCGGCAGGCAGTACCAGCACTGACTGGGGTCTTCTTTCTGTATGTGACTCCTAGGTTAAAATGAAAAAGGAATACCAGCAGAAAAAGATGGAAAAGGGCACCAGCCCCCGAAAACCCAGCATCACCCTCAGTGCCTACCAGAGCAAGTGCATCCAAACCGTCCTGAAAGAAGAGTAAGTGAAAGCTTCACTCCTGTAGCATGCCAGCCCTGGCCCTTACAAAGCGATTACATTCAAGTTTCTAGGGTATAATTTAACCCCTGTGCTGCCCCAGGGGCTGACCAGTGGCCCAGCTGGAGCTTGTCGAGATGCGCTGAAGCACGAGATGTGCCAGCTCCCGACAGCAGCACTGGCCAGTTAAAGCAGATTTAGTTGAGTCTTTGGGCAGTCTGTATCCAGCCTGTAACACAAGGACTTGCAGCAGCGCTCCTGGTCTCTGCTTCTACCCTATGGAGCATTTCCCTGCCTGGTTAGTTTTGAGCAAAAATGACTTGCAGCCTTTTGACTTGGATTTATTTTTCTTGAAGGGGAGAACACATAAGGGAGATGGTAAAACAGATCAATGACATCAGAAACCACGTGAACTTCTAACATGTCCACGATGAAGAACCTACGCTGAAAGGCTGGACAAGCTTTAATTTTCCCTGGGATTTCCCCTTGTATATTTACATTTGTATGTTGAACAATATGCCTTTTACTTATTATTTTGTAAAGATGGACTGTGAAATAAAATACTTTTGATAAGACTCCTTACATGCTGCAGTTTTTTTGCTTTTCTCCTGGGAAGGAGACTGCAGCAGGTTATTTTAAACCTCAAGAATGTTACAGTGTCATACTTACAGCTAGCTCAGGGAAGGGGGAATTGCTCCTTCAGGAAGCTCCTGGGGGTTATTCTGGGAGTCTTCTCCTACCCTTGTCCTTGGCAGAGTTACTAGGGGGGAGGCCTGTGGCAGAAGGCAGGGTAGAAAGACCAGAGAGGCACACACACTGCAGCAGCTTTTTTTTTTTTTTTCTTTTTTTTAATTTGGAACACTTTCTTCATAAAGGACACACCTTCAATACAGTTAACAAATAGTTACACTTGAATCCTGTGGACAGCAGAATTCTACACCCACAATTGCACAGGACACCAATGGCTTGGTTCACTGGAATGCAGTATTAACTTCCAAACACTCAGTTTGCCTTTATCAAAAGGTGGCTCTGGAGTCCGTCTTGACATTAAAAGGCCAATTATTGATCTGCTGTAAACAAGCTTCAGTGGACAATAAATAACTGTTGTCCCCTCCCCCCACCCCTTAGAAAAGGTGATGTGGTCAAGCTCAGTTTTGAAAAGTAGTACTGCACTGCTACAAAAGTGGCACAGTAAGAGGTGCCAAAGTAAAGCTGTAAGGAAAGGAGGGCTGTTATTACCTGTTAGGTAACACGGTTACCGGACATGCTGCAAGAACACTTTTTTTTTGTACAGATTAAGACTATACAAGTATAGGAATGCATACAAAACTTGATCTCGTCCCTTTTACAGTCTACAGGAACAGAATCCAGTTTTCCTAATCCACGCACCCCGTGTGTCACAGCGGACCTGCCAGGTTAGACATAGGGCCTGTTAAGAATCTCTCGCTAAGGGAAGAGAACCTACCACCCTGCTCCAATCAAGCTCCAGAACACCAAGAACTGGGAGCAAAAGTGTTTGTTTTCTGATGTTTTATGAGCGGTAACACCATAATCCATCCAGTGAGTATCTACACCAAGAGCTTTTACTACACTTAATTTATGGCCTTTTAAATTTGCTCTGCAAACTGGGCACACACTTTCGTTTTTTAAAGGCCCCTTTAAGTTTCTTAAGTTTGAGTTCAGCAGAAGCTTGAGTTACTGCTTCTGAAGCTGTGCTTTCCTTCCCCAGAGGGACAGCCCCTCTGGGTTAGCAGGACGGCGGGTTGTAGCGAGGACATCGCCCACCACTTCCGTGAACAGTCAGGTTCCCAATTTAAAAACAAGAAACTGGTAAAAAGGCATGATCTTAAGTTGCATCAGTTGGTGAAAAAAAGTCACTCACGTTCGAACTCTGAAACAGTCACTAGAAACAGGAGTACAGGTGTTCGGGTGCGTGATGGAGTAAGGTGGCAAAAAGGAAAGCCACCATACAGCAATCGTATACCCTTCCTCTCCAAACCCAAAGAAGTTCCCTCACTGACTCGCACGGTGCCTGGTTCAAAAGCAAGGAAGCCAGCAGCCAGCACCCCCCTGCCCAGGTGGGTTCCCAGTCCCCTTCACACCCTACCGCGTTTGCCTCCAGCCTCCTCTAACTGGACCAACACACCACAACACACATCACAAGCATGCACACGAACACACACACACACACTTACTGCGGCGAGGAAAGATCACAGACTGATGGCCCCCTCGCCTGCCTTCCCCTGGGACTGCAGAAAGCGCCCCTGCAGCCAGCACCTGCCCTCTGGCACCAGCACACCTATAGGAAGCCGTGTCAACAATTTGTAAAAACACACTCAAGAAAAAGCCCCACCAGCCTTGTGCTCTGGGAAACAACCTGAAACGGTCAGCTACAGCCGCGGTGGGTCGGGGTGGACAGGGCTGCTGAGAAGGGGCGCTGACACGGGGACCAGGAAAGGATGCTGAACGGCCAGGAACAGTCGCTTTCCTTGCTCTCTTGCACTGGGACAGTCCAGAAACTCAACCAAAAATTCCTTTTCTGCGTAAGTCTCCAGGTGCAGTTCCTCAAGCATTCAGCTTGCTGAAGAGATGCAGAGGATGTGTTGTAGTTTTGCCAGACAACAACAGGCTTCCTTGAACACTGCTGCACAAGTTAACCATCGGCAACCAGCTACGAGTTAGATTTTGGGAAGGAAGGGAACGTAGAAAAAAGCTTTTCGTTCTGCAGCTCCTAATAAAGGCCTGTATTTTCTCCAGTTTACTCAACAGACTGGGACCCTAACCCTTGGAAAACCAAATGCAAAACATCTGGTATTGGACTTATGCATCAGGAGTCAGCTGCTGTCACCTCACAGTTCAGCAAATAGTGAGAAAGATTAAACCCCCCAAATCTGGTAACAGCCAATTAATAAAGAACCTAAGCCACATTTCAGCTTCACTTTTAAGTGAAATTAAGTGTCATCTTAAGAAGATGACAGCTCTGCCATCTATTAGTTCTAGGCATTACTAAGGTAGGGAAAACGGCTTTTGGGTGTCAGGATTATGAAAGGAATTAATTGCTAGGGTGAACAAAATGCTTTAATTCTTGCAATGAGTGACACAGAGTTGAGCTTGTATGCTTCTTTTTGGCTGTTTTTAAGGCATTCCTCTTCAAAACCACCAGTTCTAACTTCATGTTAGTAGCAGGATATACACTGCTAAAAATAGGATTTAAGCACTTAAAATATAGTCATATGCATTACAGCTTGGAGCATTTTCTGTCACTTCTGGTTTTCTTCATCAGCTTCAGATCTATGGCCAAGTACGTAAAGAAAAAAAATAAGCAATGGAGGAAATTTGAAGGTATAAATTTTGGACAGTAGTGATCTGCTCCTTCAGCCTCCTTTCTTTTAATCGAGTTGTAAGCAGGGGCCAGTTCAAGACCTCAATTTGCACCACCAGTACTGTCATCATCCGCAACCGTACATGAAACCATTGCTGTCTAACTGCGTGCTCGGGACTCCAACAAAAGGAGAAAAAGAAGGAGGAACGGTCATGTTACCACCATGCATTTATAGAAGAAGAAACCCAAACCTAGCACCTGGCTGATCACAAGAATTTCTTGCCTCTGCTGTCATGTTACATAGTGTAATTTCAATGTATGGTTACAGAAATATGGACAGTGTAGGAGTCAACTCTGAGCAAAAACACGATCACCGTGCTTTAAAGGAAGAGATGCACTGTACCTTTCAGACCTGAACCAGCAGAATAATGCAGCTCCTTCGCATTTGTGCTCTGTGATTGAGAGTGCCACCACCGTTTTGCAGACTATTAAGCTGACCCAGAAGCGGTGGGTCAGGCGAATTGCTTCATTCAGCACCTTATCTTGACCCTTTCTAGTGAAAGCTACCACCTTTACACCTGGTGTGTCCCCCCGGAGCAAAGCAGACCTGCATAAACCCCATGCCAACGCTCAGGCAACGCACAGGACTTTCACTAGCTTTTTTTTTTTTCTTTTTAAATACAGAGGAGGGGTTACAGGTACTGCTCAGCTTTAGAGAGGAGAAAGAACCAATTGGAGTTCATTATTCTGAATTACATTGGTGAAAAGAGATTACAAAACAGTGCATTTCTTGTGCTTTTCTTTAAGTATCAGAATTCAACGGAAAAATTTCAAGGAGCTAAATTCTCAGTACATTTTTCATTTTTTTGGATTAACATTTATCTGTTCGGGAGACACACAGCTCACTCATGTCCACCACATTTCAGCAGCATTCAGATTTTTCAACACAAAGTCAATGGTTAAAAAAAAAGTACTGAGTTATGAAATAAGATCAATATCCAGTGTCCTGCTAATAAAGTCATATTTTAATATAAAATATTCATACAGCATACTCTACACCTCATTCTCTCTGCTAGCTGAATACTGTTACTGACTATTCAAACAGAAAAACTTCAACCACTTTGCTCTTCAATGTTTTGGAGGGACAATATGGTTTCCAGCAGCTACTTTGATCACAGTAGTGGGGGGAAAGGAAAGAGGGAAAGACAAGGTAAATGTTCCAAAACTCTATATTAGGTTACGAAGTTGGCTGAAAGAGGGGAAGTTTTTCAGAATGTAAGGACTGATCCCACTCAGTGGAACATGAAACACCGCACTCATTAGTGTTTCCTTTAGAAAGTTCTCCTTCCTACACTGCAAGTCACCCTTGTGCTCTCTTCCTGCCCAGTACGAAACCTTTTTCCCCTCTAGAAACAAAACTTAGTCATTGCTCCCCTCTGTTGTCTTCTGCTCTTTCGGTTAGAGTTAAATAATAATTAATGTTGCTATAAAGATGAGTTAAAAACCCCAAATGCAGCCTTGGAGCCCGCTCATCAGGGTGTCATGTTTCAGGAAGCTGATTAATGTCCGTCAGTTTTGTGTCATTCAGGATTGCACGGATTCTCTCCAGGGAATCTGCCTGCCGGATCCGCTCCAGCTGCACCTGCAGAAAACCAACAGACACAACTGAGCTGCTGAAACACCTGGTACAAGACCACAGACGCAGAACAGAGCCGACCGGCCACGTCAGCACCCCCAGCACCTGGGCAAGCAGAAGAGACACCAAATCACCGTTGGCTGAAAAATGCAAGGCATGAAAGAGCACAACCTTCATTTAGAACCAAGAATGGGAGGAGGGAGAGGTAAGGCAGTTGTGTCTTACAACAAAAAGCCACTTTCTGGGTGGCTCAAGCAAGCCTTCCTCATCACTCTGACCAGTCACTGACACCCAACTGGCCAGGCAAACTGGAGATGGGCAAAGCAATGTACACCGTCACAGAACGAACGTAGAGGAAGTGCAGACATGCCTAACACACGCCTTCGAGATCTCAAGATCAAAGCTAAAACGCTCTTAGAGGGAACGTCCCATTTCCAAGCTCATTCCTGTTATCTACCTTTCTGATAATCTATCTCAAGCTGTTTCTTACATGCTGAAAAAGTGCCCAGCAGAACTGTGTTGAACGCAAAGAGATCCCAATTTTTTCTTTAAATTTTTTTTTCTTTTATATTCAAACTTCCACGTTCTTCGTATTAGGATCAGGGCTTTCAGCTGTAAATTCCCAACTAGTGGTTAACTGATTTTTAGCCCTTCCTCTCCATTGCTGGTACCTAATTTGGCCAGTGGACACCTCACACAAGCGACACCGGCCCAGACTCTCCATTGACAAGGTCAGGGAAGGAAATAACCCCGTCTGGCCACCAAGAAACCAAAATCCTCATTTGATGATAACCTCTCGTGTCATGCAGCAGATCTTCTACCACGTACGGTGGAGATGGCACAAACCAGGTTTAAACTGGAAGTACCGAGAAACTAATGTACAGTTACTGCCTAGGGGCAGAGAGAAAGCACAAAAAGTACAGAGCTACACCGCTCTTGCTGAGCTCGTTACTGACAGCCTACTAAGCCACCTGGCAAGAGTGCACCACATCTTCAAAGTGGTGCCTATATCTTTGCTCCCAGAACTGCATAAACCAGGGCATGCAGTGCTTTCCAAAAAAAAAAAAAAAAAAAAAAAAGAAAAAAAAAAAAAAGGATGATTTCAAGCAGCAACTTCACCAGCCAGGACAATTCAGTGCTCTCCTTTGTCCTACCAACTCCTCCAGAAAGAGCCAGAACAAAAGAGGACAGTTCCCTATTGTCCATCCAGCTAAACTCTATCTAGTAAACAATCTCCTATATTCTTGGTCTAGTTTTCCAAATAAATGTGAACACTTGAATCAAAAATCTTGCATTTTTAATCTGCTGCATTTCTCTGCGTAGACTGGCCAAGAACTCAAAGGAGACCGTGCTGAAATTCAGCACCTCCTTTGTGAGCAAGATTTCTCATCAGCTGGAATGTGAGGGGGTGCAAATCCTAAAAGCACAGACAGGGAAGGTGAGACCAATCTAGCCCGGCTTCCCGAGGAGACAGTTAGTCCCTCTGCAAACACAAAACCTGCAGGTCCCCTGGTGCTCGCTACAATTAACAGAGAGAGAGAATTAGCCTCAATGAACAACCCTCCCAAAACTCCTTCCTTCAGCCACCTCTTGGTATCCCATTGCCAACCACAGATTCTGCTTTTTGGAGGAAACACAAGGACAGCAACAGTGACAATAACGAAGATAAGACTTCTAGTAGAAGGAGAAAGCAGTAAATCTAATATGAAGAATCATTTCATATATTCTTACTTTGTCCTCAAATATTTACACCCTAATGATTTGCTATGAAAAGTAACATACCGGAAAAACATCAGGAGATGGAAAATTAAATACTAGGGTCTAAAGGCACCATCATTTATGGCTCTCTACAGTTCCTTTTAGTACAATAATTGTATCTTTGCTGCTGAGATTTGGTTGAAATCAAGTAATCAGAATAAAATCCCCAACAGGCTCTAACACTAATATTATCCTAGGAATACTCAATCAGTTTATTAAACTAAGAACTTTAAAAATAGTTCATAAATACAACATAAGAAAATTTACAACTGCTACTTCTTATTTTACACAGCTCTGCAGAAGAAACAAAAGTAGCACCTTACAAATTGATCGCACTTCCCTTACCTGAAGCGTCTGAGAAAGCTTTACAAAATCTCTCTGTACTTGCTCACTGACATCTAATTCAGTCTGTAACCGCTGAGCTTTATTCTTCTCTTCAAATACCAGCTGTTCAAGGTTTGCCTGAAGAAAAAGAAGATTCTTTATGCCACGCTTACATCCAACAAAAAAAGGAGAAGCTTGTATAAACTGATTAAAGCATGGTACTAGAGCAAAGAAGCATGGTTATTCTCAGAGTCCTGGCAAGAAATTAAAACCAATCACTCTTTCTACACCTCAATTTTCCTAACTGCAAAATCAGGGGCTAATACCCATCAGACAAACATCCTCATTAGTTTGATTAAAGCATGTCTTTTAACAGCACCATGTCCAGGGATCTCAAAATAAAAGCAGACTTCTGAGTTGTAATGAAACATGAGCATGGATGAAGGGTGGTAATCTGCTGGTGAAAATGTAACTATCTTGCTGTCTCAAGTTTTAGTCAAAAAAGTCTTTGGAGAAGGGAAGAAAAAAAAGGAAAAAAAAACAACCCAAGGAAGAGAGAAATCAGATCACAACTAATTCCTCTGACTGCCAAAGCAGGGCTCCCTCCTACAGCAACAACAAAACGACATTTATTCAAAAATAGCAAAGCATTCAAACCCAGGTTTGGTCAGTCAGGAAGCTTTCCATGCGCAGAACTGTTACTGAGGCCTAACCTTGGAAGCCAATCCAAAGGGGACTCTCAAGTTAGCAGCAATTCAAACCCATGGCTTTACAAATTCAAGTGCCAAGTCAGTGGGATGAGGATTTAAATCGCATCCAGTGGACACTGTATCACTGCCAGAGTCTTATCAACATTCAAACGCCTCCTTTTTCATTCTCATGTAGTGACACATTCTCTGACCACAGCTTGATCATCCTAGAAGGTGCACATACACTTCCTACCCAGACATCATAGCTACCTTTGCTGCAGTCTCCTTCTTCAGCTGTTCTTCTAGAGTGTTTTTTGTTTCCTGCAGACTCTCCAGCTGCTGCAGGTTTTCCTGCGAAGAACTTTCCAACTATATTATAATAATAAAAAAAGTATTAACTAAACCTCCTAACATTTCAATTTCTCACAGTCCCTCCATATAGGAAGCGTAGCCTAAATGTCTGTCTCGGGACTCAGAAATACACCTAAAATAATCTCTCCTAGGGACACAGAAAACACCTAAATAACATCTTTTTCTCTCCATTTATCTCTCTTCGGAGCTGGAGAGAAATGGCCAAACCTGACATTTAGGTTATTATTAGGTAGCCTAATGTTAGTTAGGAATTAGTTAACCCAGTATTTAGGTTACAGATTAATAAACAGACAAAACACTTCTTAAGGAACAGAACTATGAATGTGTCCCAGTCCTACGCTGGCATCAATACAGCTGTTCTGCCCTCCAGAGTCCCAGGCGTGACCTTCTGTGTTTCCTTTGAAAAGGTCACAGAAGGCCCCAGGTGGAGTTACAACACCGGTGCACCTACACCCTCAGTTGATACCAAGAGCTGTATAGACTGAGAGTGTCCAGCAGTGTCAGTGCCCTCAGTAAGAAAACTCGTGCAAATGTATAGACTGGTGTTCCTTCTCGCAGAAAGGGAAGGTTATCTGCCCAAATAAGCCGGCACTCCAGCATCCCACAAACATGCTGAGATAAAGGAACAATGGTGTTACTGCATTGCAGAATTCTCTCCTTAGTTCACCTCACTTTCCCTCCCCAAACTGGGCACACTAAACATCATACATAAATGTGTTTAAAGGGTGACTGACACCTCAGAGGCAGGTGGGAAAAAGAAGTTCATTTTCTCTGATATGAAGAGGTTGACGGCGAAGACAGCAACACAGTGCCACTGACAGAACTAGCGGGGAAAAAAATATCCTACTATCTTTGTTTAAAAAGAAACCAAACCAACCCAAAAATCCCAGTGAAAGGGCTCCTTACCTGTTCCTTTTCCACTTTTATTCTTTCCAGTTCAGCTTTTAAACTGGAAATGGAAGCTGAAAAACAAGAATATTAAACTTAAATGCAAGAAAACCACAGGAAACTGGACATACCCTGTTAACTTCTGTTAATATTTAAAGGAGAATTAAGCATGTGCTACATCAAAGGCACTTCAAAGATAAACAAATACTTGTACTTTTGTTTTCAGCTGCACAGCTTTGGTTTATCTGCTATCAAAAAGGGACAGTATTTAAAATTCAGATAAGTCTACTTATCTACAAAATCAAGTCTTCACTTATCTTACTAATTTCTAATATTCCCATTTTGAGACAGTTTCACCCCTGCTCACCTATTTCCTCTTTGCAATTTTCTATTTCCAGCTGTAGAGTTTCTTCTATATTTTCTTTCAAATATTGTTCAGCTTGAATCTGCTCTTTTAAGAATAAAATCTCCGCCTTAAGTTTCTCCTCAAGGTGATCTGCTGCTGTCCGCACACTAATTATGTCTTCACGATATTTTAAAATCAGCTCACGGAGCTCCTGAATCAATGATTAGCAAAGATTTGCATTATTTGTACTTATCAGCATACACACCAAAGCCAAAGTCATGCTGCCCCCAGGTTTGTCCCACAACACCAAATCCTGCATCCAGCACGGCGTTAAAGCAAAATGGCAAAGTTTGCTTGGCCACAGTAATTGAAGAACATGTAAAGATTCACGTTTCCACAGGCTCTTGACCCTCTCCCCCTGCCTTTCACCCCCCAAATCTTTTAAGCTTGATGTGCTTGAGCGTAAGGGAGTGGCCATGAAAAGGATGACAAGGCTTATTATTATTCAAAGCTCAGGATTATTACTGGTCTTAACGCCTGGACAGAAATCAAAGTGACTGACATTGGAGCCATGGTGACTGAACACTTGTGTGCTCAGTTGCAAAATACAGCTTAAACTAGCTGAACTGGGATAAAGTCACACTCTGCTGACAACAGAGCAGTCATCAGGCCACAGTTAACTCATTTTATTTTTATCTCTCCACACCCTGAAGCATGCTCATGGCACAGTGGGACCAGACTGCTGATTTTGTACATCACAGACTTGGACAGTTAAAATCCAGATTATTGTTCAGTGTGCTACTCAAGTCAGCTTTCTCATAAAGAAGATTCTTCCAGTCAGATCTAGTCACATGCATTATTTGTGTTAATGATTTACAAATGTTTTACCTCTGCTGCTTCTGGTAGAATGAAATCTTCAGCTTGCTGTAAAGACACATGCAAGCTATGTTTTCCTTGAAGACTTTCATTATCTTTCTGCAGTCTCACCAACTCTTCTGAAACCTGCTCCCTTGACTGTGTCAGGACAGCCTCCAATGCAAAGAAAAGCATAAATTCTCACTTAGGGTCATGCTCAGATCTCTTCCTGCCCCATTTACTACCATTGCTTTCAAAAGCTTGGTGAATTGACATTCTTTGTAAAGAAGGGGAACAAAATGATGGTGTGCATCAACACAATCAGTTCTGTCTTGCCTGGCCTATGCACCAGAAATAAAGGCAAGATCCATCTTAACTACAGGGAGACAGGAGGAAGCAAGTGATAAATACAGCACCGGTAAGTCTCCCAGTTTTCTTCGGCATTTATCCACTAGCTAGCTGTGCTCATGGAGGGGGGGGTGGGGGAAATCGCATGTGGTTTCAGGAACTGGCAGTGATGTTTATTAAAATCACCTAACTTCTCAGCTGTAACGTCAGGTTATTCAAACACCTTAAACGTTCACCCTGAAAGTTTCAATGGTAAGTGCCTCCCACTGTCTTTTGAGGAACACATCAAAAGAGCTAACCTCTTGTGAGGAAAAAGAATTAAGAAAACAGTTTTGTTTGCAATACAAAAGAAAATGCAGGGCACTTTTCCAGGAGGAATGATTGCTTCCGTACAGGGAAACAGGGACTTGAACAGGAGCTGCCCTTTGTATTGTAGGTGGGCAGCATGAAGAGCATATTCGGATCAATACATTCCTGAATCTCCTGCATCTCCATTAGGGGTGCTCTCATGCAGAACATCAAACAGGACATTTCTGCAAGCCACGTCCTGATGTCATACAGACAACCCCAAACCCCAGAAATGCCATATCAGATTCATGAGAACGAAGGCTCTTAGTCCCTGCAAGGCTGTGCAAGGGAGGAGAAAAGAAGAAACTTGATTCTAATATAGAAGGGAATTAATTGCTCTAAGGAAGTTAGATCTTGTTCTGCCCTAGAAAACGAGGTCCTATTCCTATCCTCTGGCTTAATAGCTACAAGATGCTCAAAATAGTTTAAAACCCCAGTAAGTTCCCACACCTATCTCTTCCTGGGTGTTAGAACTGGTATTTTAAGTCTGACCTGTAAAAACATTGAGTATTCATCTCAAACTCAAGAAAATATTTACTAGTGATGGTACTTGTGATGAATCCTAAAAAAAATTGTCTTGAGAAAATCTATTCTGTCTTCAGACCTGAGGTGAAATAAGACACTAAATGGGCATGGAATGTACATAGTGAATAAGGAGGAAAAGAAGCTGACTAGCATACACACAGGAAATATGACAGACTGACCCTACAAACTGTTACAGGTCCAGCACTTGCCATCAGAGCTCACTTGATCGGTATCTTTACATGTTAAGATGCACGGCTCTCTCTAGTCAACCTTGGCCGGGCAGCAAGACAAAGCCTTTTACAAACACGTTGAGCTCTGAAGGTCAGACAAACAGGGCTGTTCAAGTGACCACTGGGCTTAAGCTGTCTTACCATTTGCTCCTGGACGCTTCTCTTTGCTTGCGAAAACGCCTGCTGCAGGTCACTAAGGAAGTTCTCTGACTTCTGACATTTAGCCATAAGCAAAGAGATCTTAAAAAAAGAAAACCCACACAGAGAAAGACATAAAGCATGAAACAGAAAAGAAGAAATAACAGGCAAGAGAACTTCGGTGGTTATCACTACTAATACTTTGAAATTTCAAACAAATCCACTAAAGTTTATTTTCTTAATTCCTTACTGAGTAAAGCAGTAATGCAGCTCAAGTCAGTAAGAAGAGATGCTGTGCTTCTATACCAGTAATATACTTATATTCTATTTACCAAACTCTAAACAATAAACAAACAGTTAATTCTAATCAAACTTGAATGTAAGCCAGTTCAGAGACACTGAAGGGAAACTGCAGAGCTACTACTGAAGTTCTCAGCATTTTCTTTAAGGTAATTTTTCGCACATTTCTTCAAAAGCACAGATCTTTAGAAACTTTACAATTCTACAACAACACACACTTAACAGTAAGACTAAGCACTTAATTAAGAGCACCCTGGTACAGCCAAAACAATGAACCTATAAACATATTCCTGTCATCTAAGACAGACTTTGGCTAATGACTACTGTAAGAAAAAAATACTGGGCGGGATAGAAGAGAGTCTTTCAGCTCAAGTGAAGTAAATTCAATGTCTTGTACACAGCATTCACCTAATACTGTAACCTTTAATAGGCCAAAGATGACGACTCTTTTTGTTATTGTTTTTTACAGCTATGGCTACCGCACGTCCAATTTGGCTCCATTGTTCCAGGAGAGTTACGTACACATCCCAGACTGAAAAATCTTTTCAGTGGGCTACTATTTTAAAGAAGTGTAGTGCATATTTTGGACCAACTACTGTTACTGCCTGCTCAACTACTCATTAACTGTATGTCTTCACCACAAGGCCATGAACTGGGTGTCAAGTGGTATGACTAGTACTGCTCTTCTACCGACAAGAACAGCGACCAAGAACACAGGGCTGCTTTTGCATGTTTGGGTGATTTCATACCCAGGTCACTTCAAAACTCAAACGCTACTCAAATTCCAATTATCACCTCTGTAATGGATTTCAAGATTAGAGATGAAACTTTATGGCCAAAATCAGATAACATGACATTAGAGACACATCAGACTCATCTAGAAACTGTGGCAGATTCAGGCAGAACATAACTAACCCCAGAAATTCTCGTTTCTGTTGCCTCTACAGCAGGTGGTCCATCTGTATCCAACTGAAGATGAGTTCTTGTTACATACTTTTGAATAACATTTCACAATTCCTACCATCTTGATTACAAAATGCTTGTACCTGATTAGAGGAGTCTTCAGCACTTTGTTTCATGTAATCCTCCAATTCCTGTTTATCTTTCATTGTCTTCTCCAGCTGGTCATTAGCCTGCCTCAGCATCACCTGCAGCTTTTTCACCTGTGTTGTTACAACAAATTAATTTAATTTTCCATTCTTTTAGGGAGCATTTATTTCCTGAACACAAATAAACCTACCCCATTGCACCCCAAAATCACAAAGCAAAATCCCTCGAAACCCTACGCAACCCTGAAGTTGCTTTGTTGTTCTTCTGAAACACCCTGCATCACAGAGTACACCTGTAAGGAAACACGAGACATCAAACTGCGCTGGGCCACTGCCATGCAACGACTTCAATCTCTTATTTCAAAGCAGAACGTGACTCATGCCTTCTGCACCTATCTGAAAATTGTTCTTCAGTATATGGCAGGAAACAAACATCCTCCAATACTTTACAGTCATTTTATGCTGCTAGGATGAAGTCCTCTAATTTTTCCTTTGCTGTTAACAAATCCTTGCAGTACCAAAGGTAATACAATTTAATGCATGAGAAGCATTTTAGAATATAAATTATGAAAGATACTGATTTCAGCATGAGCACAACACTTTTTTTTAGAACAGTGCCTTTACTGCACGAACCTATAGCACTGGATAAAGTTAAGTGGTTCCCCAAGGTGAATCCTCCAGAAATACATACACATGGTAGTCACGACCACATGCAACTAACAAACCAGGTTATGTCAATAAAACGTCAGAAGTTATCCAGATTTAACAATGCTGACATTGTTAAGTTAAAACCAATGAGTAAACCAGCAGATGGTCCATTGCCACATCCTTAGCGGTTTGAATAGCTGCAAAAATCTTGCTAAAGCCAGAAGAGAAATCCCACCTGGTCTCTTGTCTCAGCCTCCTGAATCTGGATACCTTGCAACTGCTTCTCATAATTCGAGCACATATCACAGCGTCTACCCAGCTTGTTCCCTGCATTCTGCACCTGGAGAACACAGAGGTATCACCACCTGCCATAAAGGCCATAAAACTCTTCAAGGAACACAGGAGGGCTACATACTCTCAGGTGTGTTGTGTGATTACAAAATACTACAGATAAAAGACAGTGGCAGAATCACATAAAGACAAGATTAATTTGCTCTAAAAGTAAAGGATAATGTAAATCAGCTGCAGGATATCAGCTTTTCCTGGCATGAGTCCCACTATTAGCACAAAAGCAATAAGCCATGACATGCAAGAGTTCATCAGGGCATTCAGTGTGTCCTTTTGAAACGTATTACTTAAGTACCCGGAGCAAAGCTTTCAACAGGCCATAACATTTTTTCATTCAATTATTTTGTATTACAAATCAAATTATAAACACAACACTACGGTGTTTCGTTGAGGGGGATGTTTGTGTGTTTTGGGGTCGTCTGTGTTGGTTTTTTTCTCCTTGGTTTGGTTTGGGGTTTTTTTACGTTTCTTTTTTAAACCAACACAAAGAAATTAAAAAGCAAGTCAGTTCATCAGGTCAGGACTTCCTTAAATCTTCCTCCTCCTGTAACTGAACTTTGAATATTTTTCAATAGCACATACTAATTTTGTTCTTTAACAGTCATCAACTTTTATTTACTTTTTGATACCCTCCTCCAGTATTGCTCAGTATCAGAGACTGAATAATCAGCTAAAAAAACCAGTTAGGAAAGAATAAAGTAGAAGACAGACAGATTTAAAAAAGGAAAGAAAAGAAACCAAACAGGACAGGGAAAAAAAAATGTGTTGGGGTGTGCAGCACGGCAACAAAGAGTAAACCAGTCACCACCTTAAAACTGTAATGGTTTTACCACGGGGAGAAATGGAAGTTTTATCAAAGCTCCACCTGCAAGTGAGGTTTGAGCTGAAATCATATTTGTATTTGCTGCTCCATGTCCCACCCACACAGAGTGGCATTCACATACCCTGCCTGTACTCCCACCTCCAGAAACACGCGGGAAGCAGTGCATTTCCTCTCTGAAGTCTAAGAAAGGGTTGGAGTAACTTGTCATCAGGGAAAGGAAATACTCAAGGGTAGAGGATTTCACTCAGCTCTGAGATCACAACACTGTAATTTCTCCAGATAACACAAATTAGTAGCCACACACACACAAAAAGCAACTTTACAATAGGTTTTGAGAGACCGCCTAAGTAATGATTTGCATATAAGTTGAACTCCAACAAGTTGAGGAAATAAAATATCACTAGTTCTTCATTTCATCTGTCCTTTCACCTTCCTTTTCACCCATTATGGATTGTTACCTCCCCCCTACCTTTTCTTCCCCCTAAAGCGCTGCTCCTTGCCTTCTCTTCTTCCGAAAGTATACTTTGGAAAGTACTACTGAAAGTATACACAATACTCCTCTTTTCAGCAAGAAACGAAATGCAAGCTTTGAACTGGCATCATACAAAGCTGCTGAAAAACCGACAGGCAGAACACCCTGAAGCAACAATTTCCTTGGTCACCCATACTGAAACTGGCACAGTGTTAAGTCTAATCTGCTGCTTGTCACTCTCAGAAATTGGTTTCTGATGATGCAAGTCCCCAACAATTTTCTGAAGCTTCCTTTCTGGTAGCTTTGTTACGCATATCTTGGCTGCTCATTTCTAAATTGCACTCCACGCACAAGCCTCCATAAAACTCCTTGGCATACAAACCAGCACGAATAGCTCTGCTCCTTTCGTCAATCTTTGCACTTTCCTAGCCACCTCCAGTTGCACTATAAGGTCCTTTCCTTAGATTCCCATTTTCTCCTTTTCTTTAAGTTCTCCCGTCTTTTCTCATCCTCTCCCGTATTTGCGAGATCAACAGCTACCTCTGCCAGACCCTTCCCAAAGTGCAAAAATATCCCCAATTTAGTAAAGCTGCCTTTCCCATGAACAGAGTCAGCCAATACCGTTTGTATCAGATGTGCTTTACCTTTTCCAAGAGAGAAAAGTGAATAGGTAGCTATTTCCTTCCAAACCAGCCACCATCTAAAGCGAATTAGGAAGAGCTTTCACCCAGCAGGCAGCCCACGAGGGGCAGGCAGCCCGTCACGCAGGCAGCGGTCGCAGCAGCCGCACGCAGTGGGCACTCACCTCTTTCTGCAGCAGGTTCCACTCCGTCTCGCTAACCAAGCGGTAACCACTAGGAGATACATAAGCACTTTCTACCCCTTGTGTAACACTGGAAAGAAGTGAAGCAGTCTCTTCTTGCTCTGGTGTCATCGCTTTGATTGCTTTTTCCTGATCTTTGGTTAACATGAACCCACTTGGCATTTGCAGAGACCCAAGGGAAGCTGTATCAAAGTTCTCAGACACTGAATCTGCTCCAACAAGCGGTCCAAAATCCGACTCATCCAGGTTCCCAGCAGATTTTGCTTTGTTGTTGTATCCTAAAGCTTTGGACTGTAAAGATCCAGATGTCCCCAGACTGTCTGTCGACTGTGCTCTCCGTAGTCCATCTTTAAACATATCGTTATCCGATTTATTGAAAGATTCGCCAGAAGAAAGAAGCAAGTCTGCATCCAAAGAATGGACTGAGCCATGGGTGCTATTGACATGCACCTGGAATTGAAAACCAAGGAAGAAAAAAAAATTTATCCACTCCATTCTAGAGGCATGGTACAAGAGGCATGCTGGACACTAATCACCAGACACGGTAAAGGCAAATTTAAATTGGCTTTGGCAAGAACATCTGATCACTAAGCGTAAGATGGCAGAGAAAGGGATACAGAATCAAAATGTACCAGCTGGAATTAAAAACAAATCAAACAAACAAGAAAAGAAAAAGTCCTCTTTAACAGAGTGCTTTTGTAAGAATCTGTCTTCCTGCCAGACAGGCAAGGACACAGTCACCTCACATCTCAATATCTAAAACAAGGTGCTTCTTCCACTAAAGAGATCCACTTGCAGTATCACCTCTAGAGCTATAATCTACACAACAGAAGGCAAATACTCCACTTCCACAAGTAAACTCAGAAGTCTTTTGTAAAATAAAACACTTTACATTAACGTAAATGCATAATGATATACTCAAAAACTACTCTATACTAACAAGTGAATATTCTATTTATTTCCTCTGCTTTGAGCGTGTGACAAAATATTCTAAGAGAAAGAAATAGTTTCTTTAAAAGATTATTTGTACATAAAATAAAATGAAAAGGGAAAAGACTGGGCTTAAACAGAAAGGTAGCCTGGGGAATGCCAATAGCAAAAGCCACACTAACTATCCTGTGAGGCATATAAGGCACATTAAGTCTCTTGATCTATTTTTGTTTGTAGCACTGAAAAGAGCAGTAATGCTTTATTTAAAAAGCATATGACTGCTTTCAAAATACCTTCCAACTTATTATGCACTTCTGCTTTGCCATGAGACATGTGAAGAAAATAACACTGAAGACAAGCCTCTTGAGGGAAAAAAAAATAAATTTCTGAAATAGGTCCAGCAGAGGCAGCAGGCGGCTGGTACTTCCAAATAGGTGTTTAAGTTATATGTTGTGTACTACTGGTTTTATGATTGCTGTAAATGCCTCGTTTTAACCATTTTTAGGCATACTATTTATATTTACATGTATATATACACAAGTTCAGGTTCATAACAAAAACTCAAGAGAATACAGACTTGTATGAAATTCTACCTTCAGACACATCTGTGGTGACACAGGTAACAAATCATTTGTTTGTATTGCGAACTGCTCAACAGAGAAAAGCTCAGAAGTCAAATTATGGCAAGTTGTAAGACGTGACTGATAACACAATTCATTACCAGTTGTAAACCACATTCTGTCCAGTTAAAAAAGGTCATAAAGAGCAACAAAACCAAAACGGTAAATAAACCCCAAACCACTCTGGACACTATGCCCTTCTTCAAAAGGTGAAATTTTCCATTACGTATAATTTCTAGAATTAAATAAATGCCGTGTTTAAGGGACTAAAGAACTGATATTCTAGAAAATATCAGAAGGCAAAAGTTTTGTTCACCATCAATGCCTCATTTGCACATCCAGATACAGAAGTGTTAGTATGCAACACGGTATTTGAAACAGAAAGCTGTATCCTTACTGTAGGATAAAGGGATCTAGGCTACATTTAGATTTTACGATTCTGAACATTTTCCTGCATTCTGAACTGCTACAAAGCATTGATAAGAATAAGGGCAGGCTCTAGAAATATATACTTTTTTCCCTTCAAAAAGGATAAATAAACCAGGCAAAATTCTGGCTCGCACTGCAAATTCTCAAGTCTCTTGAAGCTTACATAACCTTCTATAGCACAAAACTGGGTTTGTTTTTATTGATTTGTCCCTATTTCGACTTACAAAATCAAAACGGAACCTCTCAGGTGATCAGATAAACAAGCAAAACACAGTGGAAAAGGATAAGTAACGGCCCATTCTGATACTGTTTCCAAGTTCCAACCTGTGGGCTCACTGGACTTGGTTCCTCAAGGGAAACGTTCGGGAAAATTTCAAATACCATTTCAGCTTGTCCCAGTGAACGACCACCTACAACACCCAAATGGCTTGCTAACTAACGACACCCAGCAGCACCACTTTTCTGGCTGTCAAATGGTTTTCCCAATACAGCTCAAGCAGCTTCCGCAAAAACTTGGTGCTGAGCCCGAGCTACTGGCATAGCCAAAAAAAAGCTTATCTTTGGTTGCTGAATACACGTGTCAAAACCCTCAACTCACACAGGTGGATGTAGCTTAAGACAGACAGACACTTTGCACGTGCTAAGCACCTGGCTAACTTCACAACCCGTGACCTCAGATTCATCTAACTAGTTGGAGTTTAGTACAGATTTCAACAAGTAGCTACAACACACTTGCTCAATGTTCAGACATAATTGGTTTAATTCCAACATTTAGGTGTGTTAGTATGTAGTTCTAAATCCCAAGAGAATTTAACAGCAGTTAACAGCCAGAACGCAAAAGGTAAATTACAATTTTGAACAGCACCTCTCAGGATTGTAAAGTATCATCTTCCCATCTTTGTTACAGTTTATATATTCAAGTGCAATTCCAAAGATTTGTCATTGCTTACTAAGAACTACAAGCTACAGAGAACAAAGGGCACTAAGTTTGCATTTGTATTTGTAATCAACACCCTGAGGAATGCACAAGTGCCCAGAGTTGCTTTGAACTATCCAATTATTTTACCTCTTCATTAGAGAGCTGGGTAAGGGTTTCCTCATGGGTTAGGGAACACGAAGCTTTTGTTTCATCATCTGAATCTTTTTGCTTCTGCTCCTTTCTCTTGCTAAGCCTTTGCTGATCATCTTCTTCCTAGAAATCAGTGGTTGATAGAGAACATGTAAGCAGGAATCAATTTCGCCATAGCAGTCATGACATTAGCTTTCATGATAAACTAAGCTACAACTAAGGCACTGGAAAAGATTAGTTTGGTTAAAAACCCAATGTTTACCACATGAAGATTCTTATGGTTAAAAATTTAGTGTTTGTTTCACAAGGCACCCAAATTGACTTAAATGAGAACTTACTTTTCAAGCTTAGTGGCCAATTCATGGTCTAGAATAATTTTATTCAAAGAACATACTACCTAGATCAAAATATTTATCACAGGGATTATCAAGTAAGTAACAAAAATAGCTGTACACTGGCTATTGTATAGAATCTGACGATGTCTTTGCATCACTAATGGCCCCATTAACAGCCACTATACAAGCATGAACATGAAAACAAAACATGAAAACAAGTGCCTTGATCACTCTAAACAATGGGATATAACATACGGAAAAAAGAATCAAAAGAAAGATGTCACAGAACACTTAAGTCATAAAGCAGGTACGTAATCACTTGCATAAGCTCATTTAAAGTGAAGCTCTTAATTTATGCCTGAGCTAGGTATTGTATTGGAAAAACCTGGAAAGAAGTGAAACTTGCTATCCTAACATCCTTTACCCAGATGTTTTGCGTCATAGATGACTGTTTCTTCCTTCAAGATTTAACTTTCAGGTATTAGTACCTTTTCATTTAACAATATTGGCAACATCACTTTTAAAGTTACTATATCCCCCAATTAAAATATTTGCACAAATGGAGAGTTTCTGTTACAACTGCCAGCTGTCATTCAAATGGAGAATTTCTATTAAAACTGTCAGCTATCATTTTTTGAAACATTAACACACTTAAATAACTTGTCTCCAACATGCGATTTCCACACCTGTTATACCACATTAAATCTACAGTATTTAAAAAAAAGAGGAAAGCAGCAAGTAACCTGATCCTTTTTTTTCAGTTCTTCAACTTGTCGGAGCTGCTCAGAGGTCAGAACAATTTCCATGCGTTGCATGTCCCTCATCAACAAACGCTGAGACTCCAAGAACTGGTCATTGGCTTTCTGCCATGTGTGTTTCAACTGGTTGTGCTGTTGTCGCTCTTGCTCTAAGAGATGGCAGACTATTCAAAAATAAAAAGTCATTCTGAACCAGAATTTTTTTAACATCTTTTCCAAAGAGAAGCATTTTCATGAACAAAAGTAATTATTGTTCTCATCAAGAACAGTCAGACTTTGTTCAACGACTATTTAGGATGAAGCAAGACATTTTCTTAATTCCCAAACTCGGCTCATGATTAGGGATGTATTACTGACAGTTTAAGATTTCCCAATTAGAAGACTAAACACCTGAACATCATTCATGAATTCTAATAGTTTTTTTTTTTTTTTATTGCTGGTTTCAAAATACTGTCTTCTACATCCCTATTTACCCCAACAGAAGGTTCCACTTTTCATTCCTCTACAGTGATTCTGCACTGTGCTGGCAGGCATGTACATTTACACATCCATTCCACGGCCAGGCATTCAGAACTGACATACCTCAGGGAGACAATGGAAGTAATGCTCATAATTGTACACAAATAAAAGACACCAGTAAAATCACTTTAATAAGAGGGAAGGTTGCAATACTGTAAGAATTTAGCAGAAATTCAGTAGCATCCCTCGAAAGAATTAATGGCTCTGGTGTTTTTCTCTGTCATACAAGAACTCCATGTTCAACTCTTCTGTAAACATTTTAAGGGTTCCCATTTAAAAGTGCTGCTTCCTCTCCCCACAATTTCTTTAAATCCAATTCAAATAATAAATCAGAAAACAAT